CGTGGCTATTTCTAGGCAATTCCTGCACATCAACCTCAAACTTTAGCTACTGCTTTCTGACATCTGTTAATATAGTTCTGTTGGTCCCTGGGTGCCATGCATATGGAATTACATGATATGTGCTTATTTGTACCTGATTTGCAGTTATTTATTTATTTATTTTTATTTTTATGTGTATGAATGTTTTACCTGCATGTAAGTGCACCTGTGTTGTAAGATGCCCATGGAGGCCAAAAGAGGGCATCAGATCCCCTGGGACTGGAGATATAAATGTTTGTTAGTCACCATGTGTGTGCTAGGAAACCAAACTTGGGGCCTCTGCAAGAGCAGCCTGTGCTCTTGACCCTGAACCATCTCTCCAGCCCCCTTTACCTGAGTTTTTTTCTTCCACTTAACAAAGTTTTGAGCTTTATTCGTGCTTTTCATACACAGTGGTTTGTTCCTTTTAACTGGTCTCATGTCTTCTCACACTCTAATAATGGTGACACGTCTCGGAAATTTCCTTCTGAATCCCAAAGATCACTATTGGCTCACTCACTTTATTCCTTTTGACTCTACTTTCTCTTATTTTTCAGTAACTTTTGATAAGATTTAAAAGGGCCTCTTGCATCTTATACTTGAATGGGGCAAGATGTGCCCACACTTGCTATCAACAGCATGAATGAACTGCTCTAAGGGGAGTCTCTATTATAGTACAAGGTTAAGGTTAAGTAACTCCTAAAGTCCACAAGCAAACAGCACCTTAATATAGAAAAGTCATGTTTAGAAATAATGGGGCACTGGATGACAATTGCAACAGACGCTTATAAAAAATAAAACATTTTCCAAGTTAAGAAGTTAATATGCCATTTTTAGATAAATATTTGGTTTATGCACATGCTGTGCACTTTCTTTTTTAAGCCACTGTGTGTGTGTGTGTGTGTGTGTGTGTGTTCATGTGGGTGTTGTGCACATGTACACTTGCATGGAGGCCAGAGGTCAACATCATATATCTTCTCAATCACTCTCTGCCTTAGCTTTTGGGATAAGGTCTCTCACTGAACTGGATGCTCATGGATTTGGTTAATGACAAGTTGGCCAATGAGCTTCAGGATCCTGCCTTTTTCTGCCCATCCCCCTACCTCCCAGTGGAACACACTGCCATGCTTGTCTTTCTACATAAATTCTGGGGGATTTGTACTCAGGTCCTCATACCTACACAGGAGGCAGTTTTTTGCCAATTAAGTTATGTTTCCAGCACTTAATTCAATCTTCATTGATGAGTGCTGTGTACCAGGCACTGTGTCAACCACTTTGCATGGTTTTTCATCACTTAATTTTCAAAACAAGCTTATACTATAGGTGTATTAGTGACTTGTCTCATTGCTGCAACAAAACACCCGACAAAAGCAGCTTAAGGAAAGAAGAGTCAATTCCTATTCTGGCTCAAAGTTTGAGGATACAGTCCATCATGGTGGGAACTCATGGAGAATGGAGTTTGAGATAGCTGGTCACTCCTCAGTCAGGAAGCAGAGAGATGGACACGTAAATGCTTGGGTTTCACTCAGTTTTTTTGTTTTGTTTTTATTTGTTTATTTGTTTGCTTAGTTGGTTTGTTTTTGTTTTTGTTTTCTTTTTGTCTTTTTGGAACAGGGTCTCCTTGTAGGCCCAGCTGGCCTAGAACTCCCTACGTGGACCAGGTTGACCTCAGTCTTACAGAGATATGCCTGACTCTGCTAGAATTAAAGGCGTGAGCCACCAAGTGTGGCTTCCACTTTTTTATCCAGTTCTGGACCTGTTCAGGGAAAAGTACCACACACATTCAGGGTGTGTCTTCTCACCTCACTGTAATCTAAATAATCCCTCACAGATGTGCCCAGAGATTCATTTCTGTAGTGGTTCTAAATCCCATCAAGTTGACAAGACTATGCAGCACAGGAGATGTGCTAAGTGCTGCTGTTGTAGGAATCTGGACATGGATGTTTGTAACACTAAAGTAACTTGTCAAAGTCTCACAGCGTATCAGTGACACCTGGAATATTCCCTAGACTTTCTAGGCTATTACTATAATTAACAACCAAAATAAAAACCTAGAGTCATGTGGCTGATTTAAAACACAGGCGCTAAATCCTAGAAACTATAAAAAGCAATATCTACATGATTTGGGCATAGATACTGAATCGTTTATATGAACTGACTATAATACGTAGTAAAAAACTCTTGGCCATTTCCCCTTGTTCATTAAAGCCTTCCTTGAAGGTGGAATAACAATCACTTGGCAGCACTTGTGACTATACCCGATAGCACCACAATCTCAATGATTTAAGGCTTGAAAAAGAAATTTCTAAATTTTTATTACTTTGATTTTATATAAAATGAGGAAAAATTGGTAATCAAACATCTTTCAAATATTTATGAAATAATTATGCATATAATTGCATGTTTGATCAGTTGTAATTATTTGATGTGCAATGTCTCACTGTGGCAAACAGACTTGAGCAGCTGCAGGAAATTATGAAAGCCATCAAAGCCAATGTGAAGGCACCTGGCTCTCTTACATATCCAGGGACAAACACATCAAGAACAGAAAGTAAACACAAAGGCTACCCGATCTCCCTCACATGGAATCTAAAAATGTTGCTATCACAGAAGTTGAAAGCAGAAAGGTGGTTACCAGAGGCTGAGGAAAGTGTGAGGAGGGAGAGGTGGTCAGAGTTCGGGGAGGGAGAGGTGGTCAGAGTGCGGGGAAGGAGAGGTGGTCAAAGGTGAGAGAGTAAAAAATTACAGTTGCACAGCAGAACATGTTCTGGTGTGTGATTTTGCAGTGAGGTGATATAGATGATGATATTATATTGTGCGTTTCAGAGAAGGTGGAGGAAAGAACTCTGAATATTTTCACCATAGAGGAACATTATACCTATATACATATGTAGACATATTGCATGGTACCCCATTAATATATACAAGTTTTCTATGTCAGTAGCTTATAGTGGATGCCTAGACACTAAGCCCGAGTCCCACGTTTAGTGAGCAACACTGCATGAACTCTGGGGAAAGGAACACATCATGGAGAATGTATACATCACTAACTCAGCAGGCCCCTGGCACATTCGTCTGTCTGGTAAACACTGAAAAGCAAGGAGTCTTATTTGGCCAAAGACCGCATAAGAGCAAAGCCAGTTCTCCCCTAGCTCAAGGTTCCTGATGCGGAGAGAGGTTAGAGTCGTGCTCACTTCAGCAGTGTCAAACTACACTTTCATTTGAGATAATATTTGTAATGAGAAAGTTATTGGAAACTAAAAACAAACACAGATTAGACAGGGAGAGCGAGGGAAGATAAAGCCAGAGGGAAATGTATTAACTCACCGCCGCCCCCCCAAATACACACAATATCTGTACATGAGTGCATGTGTATACCTGAAGGCTATATAACAAGGAGCACAGTGCCAGACAGGAGACACTTCCCTTAGAATTGTTGGTCAGCTTGTCCAAAAGACTCCCAAATAGCACAGGCTGTTGGCACAGCCCTTGATTGCCTCCCAGAACTTGAAGGTAAGACCCTATTGATGAAGACAGGACATACTTCAGACACAGGACTTAGAGCAGTGGAGCCGGAACTGACTTGGAAGCCTTCTCCCTGAGAAGTATCCCTAGAGGATACTATGCAAATTGCTAAGGGAGAAAATCAATTCGTGGTCCAACCCAGCTCTAAAGCCTAATAACCACACAACTGGCACAGCAAACTAGCTCCGTTGGTGCAGTTGTGGTACTATTATCTGAGGGGAAATCTACAGCTATCTAATTGGACTTAAAGCCCTCTCAATAGAAAGGAACTCGTGGGTGACAGTGTAAATATAGCCAAATACACATGACTGGAGAGGTCATAGATCATAGAGAAAATTCTATCTCTGTCATATCTCTAGAGAAATGAAATTTCTTACTTTATGCTAAATATGGATCCTTATATTTACATACAAGTATACTGTATACCACTCATCAAAGAAGCTTCTTTTGCAAAAAATGGAGACTATTACAGAGTTCCACAACTGGTCACACACAGAGAATGTATTTCTGAGAGATGCCCAGCCCTAAGTGACACATCTACAGTAAAACCTCAACCCCTAAGGCTCATGGAACATATCAGGACAGGGGGTAGAGAAAACACTAATACATCCTTCAACTCTCACCAGCAAAGTTTCTTCATACAGCAGAGTGCAATGCACACAGAAGGCCTCATCTGCCCAACTTTTAGAGAATAAGAGACTGCAGAGTGGGCATCCCTGGATAGGACTCCTGTATTAAACCTCAACCCATCCATTGCTCAGGGACCATTGAGGAAGAGGAGGCAGAATGGTTGCAAGAACCAGAGGTTTTTAGGCCTCTGAGAACTTGCTCATATGAACTTGCAACAATGATGACACCATGCACAAGACCCAATCAGACAAAAACCCAGCATAGAACTAAGGAAAAGGGCAGCAAGCCCTAACCTTATACAAGGAACTATTGGCTACTGATTACTGTGGGGTGAGGTAGAGTAGATCTTCTTTAAGGGAGTGACTCTAGATAGGCAGACTAGACTCAGTAGGTGAGTGTGTACTGAGGAATACCTAAAAATGTTTCACCAGTAGGACTCAATATATATGACAGAATGCCTGAAATCTGGTCAGGGAGGAGGGTTCAGGGGATGTGGATGGGGGAGAAGTTCTAAATTTGATTAAGATCTATATGAGATGCACAAAAATTAAATAAAAATGTTATATAAAAATCCTAGCCTGAAGAACAAAACGCCTTGGAAAGAGTTGTCCTTTTTATACCAGTCTCTAAGCATGAGCAATAAAGGCTTTTGAGGCAGAATATCTTTAAAATTCTCCCTATTTGGCTAGATTCTTATTAAGATACCCATTTGTACCAGATAATAAAAATAATGTTTCTTAAGCATAGACCTGTTTCCTGCAAACCAGTTACATGTGAAATTTATTCAGTAAGTCACTTGGCCATAGCTGCAAATGGTGGCTGCTTACCTGTGCCCAGCCCAATCTTCACTTCATGTTTCAGGACTTCAAGCACATTCAGAAAGCCACTGCTCAGCCTAGAGAGATGCCAGAGCAAGAAGGTGTAGGTGATTCAACAGCAGAAGGACACTGTCAGTCATGACGGTGACATCACTGAAAACCGATTCCCGTTTTTATCAGGTATGATGCCCACGATCAGGCAGAATAGGTCATGAAAGTGGTAAAGAGGATCATAAAGGGTTATTCTTTGGGCTGAGATTACTCTCGGAAGGATGCAAAGCATCAAGAAGCAGAAGCAAAAGTGGAGGATCACTTGCATGGAAAAAAAAAATGAAGAATTAAGCCTTGCAAGTTAGCCTAAAAGTATAACAGGTCTAAATACTTTTAGCCAAGTCTGCCTTTGATAATAAGATATACAAATTAAACCACATTGCCTTTATTCTGTATTGAGAGCAGTGTATTACCTGAATGAACAGCAATTTGTGCTAGGGCATAAGAAACAATACCCCAAAGTATACTGCTTCGAGCCTGAGACCCAGCCTCGATAATCAGAGTCTTTCTCTGACCTCCTTGCTTCTTCTTGTCTCTAATACTTCTTTATTCTCAGCAAAACAAGCCACAGAAATGGGAATTTCTTGGGACTGGGATGTAACTCAATGGTAGAGCATCGGCTTAGTATATGTGAGGCCCTGGGCTCAAGCCTCATCAACGAAGCAACTAAATATTCTCTTTCCCAAAATGAGCCATGGAAACTAGGATTCCTTTTGTTCCTAAGAAAGCCACAAATCCTGAAAATAGTGTCTTTTGGTTTCAGGACTGGCCACAGAGGTGTCTTCATGCATATGTTATCTGAAAGATGCTCATAAGATCTTGTTTCTGATGGGTTCTGCTCCATTTCCAGGAGTAAAATAATGCTGCACAGGTGCCAAGAAGATCTGAACAGGCCTTCCTGGGTTTTCCCACTCAGCTTCTTGACATTAGATTCCCTCCCTGACCCCCTGCTTTTCCAATGATGTTGCTATATAGTTTCCATGTTCCATCAAATCAAACAGGAACAGTGCTCTGTCTTTGAGTCTTCATTTAAGTGGCCCTGTGCACATAGAACCTACATTTGCTAGGCTTTTCTCTCATTAATCTGTCTTGTTTCAGGACGTTGTCAATCACCCTGTGATGGATCAGAAAAGGTAATCATGTCTTTCTTCCCTTGTGCTTGCAAGATTGGAGACAGGAAAGTACAACTAGAAAAGAGGGTGCAGTCCAGTGAATTGGAGTCTGATGGTTCAAATGCTGCTTCTTAGGATGATGGAGCTAGGAGAGATGGTTCCTGGGCTGAGTTCTAAACCTCGTCACCTTCATCTCACTAGAGCAAGTAAAAGATAATGAAAAACTAAACCATGTCCTTAAAAGTCCAAGAAGATATGAAGGTTAAATTGTTCTGCTCAAAAGTGCACTGAACTATAATTTCTAAAGTCCTGGGGTATACATAGTAAACTTCCCAAAGTTCTTGGAGACCAGCATTTAAACATAAATGTGTTCTTAATAAAGTTAACCTTGACCTCAATTTGCAAAGCTAGATCATGTTTTAATTTAGAGGATGTCATACAGTTCATCCAAGGATGTTACATTCTTTTCCTACGGGTCACTAGACTGTAATTAAAGTCATAGAGGCATGTGACCTATCATGTGCATTTATGTTCAGTTTGAAAACTCAGAGTCTTCAAAGCCTTTCAAAACACTTCAGGAAAATGCCCTGTGGTTTTAGGCGCCCTTCCCACACTGCCATCAACAAGCATCTGTACCATTCACAAAGCCCCTATACTTGCAACTGCTAACACTTCCAGCCTTTCACTGAGATGCTCTTACCTTGGCTAGAACATGTTTTCTTGTTTGGAGAAAGTCAGAAGTCCCAGGGGATAGGTATTCCTCCGCCGCCACCCCCAGTCCACCACCTCTGCTCAGCCTTTATTCCTTCCCATGCCCTCACTTTTTGGGCTGGATAAGTGACAGTTATTTGGTACATTCGTTTCCTGAGTTCTCTAGAAGCATTACATTCATGGACCTCACAATGGTAACTGGTTCCCTTCCCTCCTGTGTCTGACTTCCAAAGGCACTCTCTAAGATCACTTCCCAAATATACTACCTATAGAATCATAAGTTTTTAACCCAGCATCAATGGATTAGAACCATGGGATCCATGAATTCTCTGAAAATTAGACACTATTAATTTTTTATTAATTTTTAAATTTAGTTTTTTGCAAATTTCATACAGTATAGTTTGATCATATTTAGATCCCCTCCCATCTGTACCTCCCCCCCTTACTAGCACCCCACCATTTCTGTATATATGTATATGTACCATATGCATATATGGTCTATAGAGTCAGTTTATATCTCCAGATGCCCTCCAGTGTGAGTTCATCCACTGGAGCCCAGTCAACCTACTAAGAGGCTTATCCTTAAACAAGAGTGAATATCCTCTT